CGAGGGTTGAACCCCGTGCCCCGAGGTGTCTTCTTTGATGTTTTTGGGTCTAGTATGATGTTTTAAGTACCGTAACGTGAATTGTGAGTCGTGTCTTTGCATATGGCCCATACTCGTATCGTGTGGTGTTAGAGTATGGTCTATAGTGGTATATATGTGCCTTGTGGGCTTGTTGTGGAGAGTCAATGTGCATGATGCGCCCTTCCTCGATTATCCCCTTATGAAGTAATTGTCGATTCTTGCTTGTGTCTGTTGTCCATGGTGAAAAAAAAAAGATATGTGATTGGCGGAAAAGATATGAATGGTGGTTGATGCATCGCGTGCTTGTGTGTGATGGTACTACGTGTGTGATTTAAAGGCATCGCGGATGCTATGAGTTCGGCGGTTATGTAGGAGGTCATGTAGGCGGGGAACATGCGGTGCTCCGGAGGGATAAGGATGTGGTGTGTATGGTGGCCTGGAAGTACAAGTTGGAACTGTTATAAGGTTGGAGAGGCGTAAAGGTTGGAACTTGGTATAAGGTTGGAACATAGACATGTCTTGTTGTGTACTCTTGATTTGTTGAGTCGTAATGTTGTCTTGTCTTGTAGCTTGCTTACTTGTGTCTTTATGTGTCTTGTTGTGGCAAGTCGCTTGGTGTGTCTTGAGTCTTATTTCTGGTTTCGAAGCTAGAGTCGTTTAGGACTATATTATGTATTTCAAGTCTCAAAATGATTTCTTATATCTATATGTATGGTACTCAACGGGTGGGAGTGGGTTACTTAGCATTATTCGCTAACGGTTGTGATACCGCATGTTTTTCAAGTACTGATTAGTTGACCGAGAACGTGCTAGAAAGAGCTGCGGTTCCTGGCCTAGTCAGTATTAGCTTAGTTAGACGGCCTGTGAGCCATGCTTGTATTCGGATAATGATTATGAACTATGCTTTGTTTAGTCAGTTTTAGCCTGTGCATCTAGGTTCTCTAGTTTAGATGTGGCATAGCACCCCAACACTAATGTTTAGCTTCCGCTATGTTTTGGGTATTAATGATAGCTTTGCCTTTATTTCGTAAGCTTTAATGGTTTTTAATTATGCTGAAAATTGGGGGTGTTACAGTTGGTATCAGAGCCTAAGTTCGACCCTAGGACAAATGCCTCTAGGATAAGACTTTAAGATGTTAGGCTTGAATCTGTAGGTGTTTAAGTACTTAGGATAAGGAAACTGTAGGACGCGCGGTGAGCTTGTGAGTTTATTTATCGTTTTCTGTTAAAACTTTCCTATACTTGCTTTCTGTTTAGCTTTTATTCCTGTAATTAAGACGCCAGGTAATGGTGCCTGCTCCTAACCCACATCTATAACCAATGTTAACCCTGTAGAATCTAGGATGACACCACCAAGAGACCATGCAAGGACCCCTAAAACGCCGACTAACGAACAGTTGGCTCAGAACTTGCATCAGTTAACTCAGATCGCCCAGGCACTGAGTGACAACCTCCCTCACAACAACGACCGTCCTCCACCAAACGGAAACCACGATGTAGCTCACCAGGTGTCAAACCATCGCCCCCTTATCTTCGCTGGAGAAGAAGATCCCACAATACTCAAGGAATGGATCCGGACGTGGGATAAGATCTTTGGAGTAATAGGTTGCCCAGAGGAGCGTCAAGTCAAGCTGGCAGCCTTCTACTTTGGGCACGAGGGCGACTTATGGTGGATCCATGAGGGCCGGCCTGTAAGCAAGAATCGGGTTTCAACTAGGAAGCCCTAAAGACCAAATTGTGAGAACGCTTTTACCCCACACACGTAAGGGCAGCCATGTCAAAGAGTTTTTTCACTTACAACAGGGATTCGCCACGGTGGTAGAATACCACAAGAGATTCATGGAACTGGCTTCACTCACGTACTGGTCCCTACAGAGGTGATCAAGGTAGAGAAATTCGTTGCGGGACTCAACTTTGAGGCAAGAAAGGCCTTAAACGTGAGCAAACCCAGAACTCTCAACAAAGCCTACGCCAAGGCAGCCGAGCTCTATCAAATACAACACACACCTCGGGGATTTTCCGAATAAATTAAGAGAAAGGTCGAGGGAAACATAGTGACCCCTCTAAACAAACCAAAGGTAGCTAGAATTATTCCATCTCAGAATCGAGGCATATCAATGGTTCAAGCCTCGAGGGACGGAACCATAATTGTCCAGGGAAGGATTCTTGCTATGAGTAAAGCCCGAATCAAAGACAGTGATGTGGTGGCTTAGAACATTCCTTGTGCATTCCGTGCCCGTCCTCATGTTATTTGACTCGGGAGCCACCAACTCGTTCATAGCAGCCGAGTTTGCAGCAAGACTTGGGTTAACAGCAAGCACTAGCGTGCAGTTAAGGGTCAAGGTAGCATCCGGAAAGGTGTTGAAATGTGACCGCATGTTCAAGACTGTTATGATCACCATAGGGGGGTTGGAATTCCATAGTGACTTAATCCAGTTTGGACTAGACGGTATGCAAGTGATCTTGGGGATGGATTGGCTGGGACAATTCAAAGCCCAAATCTTGTGTGACGAACAGAAAATAATTCTGAAAGGGCCAAAGGGGAAACGAGTATCCTATCGCGGCTCAGTCAAAAACCCAGGAATTAAATTAGTATCCATGATAAAGATGAGGAAATACTTATCTAAGGGAAGTGAGGCCTTCCTGTGCACCGTGGAAGACCTGGATGCCAAGGATGATGAACAACAATCAATTGCTGTAGTGCATGAATTCGCGGATGTCTTTCCCGAAGAGATCCCCGGTATGCCTCCACCCAGGGAAGTGGACTTCACAGTGGACCTGATACCGGGCATCGCCCCTATATCAAAATCCCCTTTCAAACTAGCACAAAAAGAGATGCAAGAATTAAAAGCACAATTACAAGACTTGTTAGATAAAGGCTACATCCACCCTAGTACTTCACTGTGGGAAGCCCCATTGCTATTCATGAAGAAGAAGGATGGAAGCATGCGACCGTGTATCGACTATAGAGAGTTAAATCAAGTCACAGTAAAGAACAAGTAACCCCTTCCTCTAATCGATGATTTATTCGACCAACTCAAGGGAGCGGGCGTGTTTTCAAAAATTGACTTAAGGTCCGGGTACCACCAAGTAAAGGTAGCCGACCAGGACATTCCAAAAACGGCTTTCCGAACCCGATACGACCACTATGAGTTCACCATAATTCCTTTCGGGTTGACTAACGCTCCCGCTGTGTTCATGGACCTCATGAATCGCGTGTTTCGCCCCTATCTAGATGATTTCGTGATTGTGTTCATTGACGCTATCTTGGTCTACTCCCGGAATCATGAAGAACATGAGCAACACCTCCAGACAGTGCTGCAAATGCTAAGGGAGAAACAATTGTATGCCAAACTCTCCAAGTGTGAATTCTGGAAAGACAGTGTGACATTCTTAGGCCACGTAGTGACCAAGAAAGGAATCATGGTGGATCTGGCAAAGATCCAGGCAGTTAAGGGTTGGCCAACCCCAATGACAACTGCGGAAGTGAGAAGTTTCCTCGGGCTGGCAGGGTACTACAGCAGGTTTGTGCCCGATTTCGCAGAAGTAGCCCAACCCATGATGAGGCTCATGAAAAAATAAATTCCCTTCTAGTGGGACACGGATTGTAACTTGGCTTTCCAAGAATTGATGGAAAGATTGACCACGACACCCGTATTGGCACTGTCATCCGGGTTAGGAGGGTTCGAAGTCTACAGTGATGCATCAAAGGAAGGCTTTGGATGCGTACTAATGCAAAACGGTAACGTGATCGCGTATGCATCCTGACAACTCAAAACCCATGAAGAGAATTACCCCACCCACGACTTGGAATTGGCAGTCGTGCTCTTTGCTTTGAAATTTTGGAGGCACTACTTGTATGGGGTACAATGCAAAATTTACACTGACCACAAGAGCCAAAAGTACATCTTCACTCAAAAGGATCTAAATATGCGACAGAGGCAGTGGTTAGAACTCATTAAAGATACGATTTGGACATCCAATACCACGAGGGAAAAGCTAACGTGGCGGGGGATGCACTAAGTAGAAAAACGAGTCATTCCCTTAACACCACATGGGTATTGGCGGATGAGCTGCGTAAGGAATTCCAGAGAATGGGCCTGGAAGTGGTGGAACAGGGACAAGTGGGCAAGGAAATTCAATTACTTAACATGAGGATCCTGCCCACATTGTTTGATGAGATTAAGAACGGACAGCTGCAAGACACCAAATTAAATAAAATAAGGCTCATCACGACGGGAGGGAAAAATGGGTCATTCGAGTTGTTTGACGATGGCAGCCTTCGTTATAAAGGACGATGGTGTGTGCTCACGACGTGCGAACACCTAAAGAAACAAATCCTGGAAGAAGGGCACAGTTCACCATACTCAGTGCACCCCAGAGGTGATAAACTGTACAAGGATGTAAAGAAACAATTTTGGTGGCCTAACATGAAGGGGGAGGTGGCGAACTTTGTGAGCAAATGCCTGAACTGCCAAAAGGTGAAAGCTGAAAGATGTAAACCCAAGGGACTAGTGCAACCACTAGAAATACCGCAAGAGAAGTGGGATTTCATCTCTATGGACTTCGTAGGAGGCTTACCCGTGACACGGACGGGTAAAGACAAGATATGGGTAATCGTGGATCGGTTGACCAAGATAGCGCGATTCATTGCCATGAAGGAGACTTGGACAATGAACTAGTTAGCCAAGGCCTACATAAGCCAAGTGGTGAAATATCATGGGGTTCCACGAGATATTGTTTCGGACAGGGACTCAAAGTTCCTATCTCAGTTTTGAAAATCCCTACAATTAGCAATGGGGATAAGACTAAAACTAAGCATCGAATTTCACCCCACAACCGATGGCCAAACAGAAAGAACAATCCAAACCCTTGAAGATATTCTAAGGGCTTGCATGTTGGACTTTTAGGGATCGTGGGAGGAGCACCTAGATTTAATCAAATTCTCATACAATAATAGCTATCATGCGAGTATACGTATGGCACCCTATGAAGCCTTATATGGCCCAAAGTGTAGGAGCCCTTTATGTTGGGAAGATACGGTTAACCCTGTGACTTTAGGACCTCAGTACTTGCAAGACACAATCGAGAAGATCAAGTATATTCAGGGAAGGATGAAAACGGCCCAAGATCGCCAAATGTCTTATGCTGATTTGGGGAGGAGACCAGCTGAATTCCAAGTAGGAGAAAAGGCTTGGTTAAAAATTTCCCCCACCCGGAGAGTGATGAGATTTGCGAAAAAGGGAAAGTTAAGCCCTTGGTTTATTGGCCCATATGAGGTCTTGGAAAGGGTGGAAAATATGGCATACCGCTTAGCATTGCATGCCGAATTAGAACGCGTGCACAATGTCTTCCATGTGTCTCAACTAAAGAAATACGTGCACGATGCTACTCATGTCCTTCAACCTGAAGTAGTATGTTTGGATGAGACTTTAATCTATGAGGAAAGACCTGTTAGGATCTTAGATACCAAGACAAGGGAAACCCGTAGGAAGTCGGTAAGGATGGTAAAAGTCCTATGATCCAACCACGGGACCGAGGAGGCAACTTGGGAACTGGAAGACGCAATGAGGGGACGCTACCCTGACTTGTTCACTCCAGGTAGTTTAGTTATCCATTAGATTGCATACTCAGACTTAGGGCTAGGTAAGTTGTTTTAGTCCGACGCCCGGCTTTAGTCAACCTCGTGAACCTAAGCTTCGAGGACGAAGCTTTTTGTTAGGGGGGAATAGTGTAACACCCCATGTTACGCCCTTTAAATTCGGATTAATTATTTCATTAATTTCGTTAAAGAATAGTTAAAAAGAATTTAATTTAGTCAGAATTTCCTAAATTAATTGATATGGTCCACGGAGGATCGTGGACCTTTACCCTTAAATAAAACCCCAAGCCTGTTAGAATAAGGAAAGAAGGTCCATTATTAATTAGACCCTGATTAGGATTCCTAAATCTATATAAAAGGAATTAGAATGCTTTAGAACCATTTTCCTCTCCATTACTCGAAATCCTCTCTCAGAATTCAGACAAGAGAATCCCTGTCACCAAGCCTAGGAAAGATTGATAGAAAAATGACCTTGAGGAAAGATCCTAGAAGTTGTGAGAAGTTTAATTAAAGCTACCAGGTAACCCATGTCTTACAAAACGTATTTTACTTGCTATCTTTTATTGATTGGCTCCTTTGAATGATTGTATGTGTGGTTTTGTGATTATGCCTTGATAGAGCTTGTCTTTAGGATTTGTGATGTGGATTCTTGATATTCTTCATGACCTTGTGTGGTTGTTTGCATGTTCTTGTATTTAATTATGTTTAGAGCTTGTCCTTAGGATTTATATTGTGAATCTTGTTGTTCGTGATGTTCTTGGCGTTCTTGGGTGGGTTTATGGATGTTCGGGTGTTATTCAAGGTTTAGAACTTGTCTTTAGGGTTTTATATGATGGTTTCTTTACGTTCTTGAGGTTCTTGAACGATTAAATGTTTATCCTTGAGTCTTGGCATGTGTAGAGCTTGTGTTTAGGGTTCAATTGTGTTAGTCCTAGGTTTATTCTATGTGTTCAAGCCCCTATTGTTGTTGATATGTGTTTGGGGCATGTTGGGACTTGATTTTGAGTAAAATTGTGAAATTCCTGGGTTGGGAAAAATGCCAAGATGGGGTGTTCCAGCGGGTAGTCGGTTGGGGGGGGGGGGGGGGGGGCGAACCCCCACCTGACCACCCGCCAGAACCGGTGGAATGTTCCAGCCGGGGGACGGGCGGGTGGACGGCCACCCGCTGGAACATGGTGGTTCCGATGGCGGCGGCGGGTTGTGTTTCACCCGCCGTACCACCCTCTGGTACGGGCCGGCGCGGGGTTGTTCATTCTCCGTGGGTCGAACCCGTGCCCCGAGGTGTCTTGATGTTTTTGGGTCTTGTATGATGTCTTAAGTACCGTAACGTTAATTGTGAGTTATGTCTTTGCATGTGGCCCATACTCATTGATGTAAGCCTAATTGTACACATTTTTAGTTTTGATTTATCTTATTTGTTAGGCTTAGGGTCATGATTTTGGTAATTTAATTGCATAATCCTTTATTTTATTATCTAGTTATGGTTCACACTTGTTTTGAAGATTTTACGGTGTTTGTTAGTGTTTTTGAACCATTGTAGGTCAATTTTATGAGCAAGGGAAGTTCTAGTGCGAGTTTGAAGCCAAATATGGTCAAATTGGAGCCCAAGAGACACAACGCGTCGAAAAAATGCCGTAGCATTTATTTTGGAGGAAGTCGCGTTCGACGCGGCGAGCCATTGCTCGATGCGTCGAACAATGACTCAGCGCAATCTGCAAATCAAAGGAAAAGAGGCGGCGTGCTAAATTAAAAATTCAAAGATTCATCTACAAATTTATTGGCACAATTCCCACAGTCGTTATATCATGCACCGCGGTGCATAATCGATAATGCACCGCGCATCAAAACAGTGCCGTTTCTACAGTTATAACGGAGTGACACTACGGTGTGTCTAAACCGACACAGTCTCATGTATTATTTTTATATTATCAAATGAAACTACAGTTATATCAAAATGATACTGTAGTTGTGGTGAAATGAAACTACAGTATATATAAAATGAAACTGAATAATATTTCACATGAGTGTATATTGTACAATGAAGTTGTAATTATATTGAAATGATCATGTAGTTGGGTTTTAATGAAACTATAGTGTATATAAAATAAGATTAAATAACATTTTCACATATTCGAGTGTATAAATATTGATTGAAACTGTAGTTATATCGAAATGAAACTGTAGTTGTGTTGAACTGAAACTGTAGTGTATACAAAATGAAACTGAAAAACAGAGTTATTTTTTGCGAAGATTCTATTTCTTTTCATTAAAAAAAAAACGACGTCGTTTTGATGCGCGGTGCATGATCGATCATGCACCGCGGTGCACGATATAATTTGCGCAATTCCCAAGACTAAAATTAAAGGTTACAATAATTTCCAAATCAAAAATAAGGAGCGGAAAATCCATATTTAAATAATAAAATTCCAATTTCGGTCTAGATACAATTTCAGTCCAATTTTGCACAGAATTCCTATTTCAATCAGAATTGCTTCTGGGCTTCTAGCTATAAAATCTCACCTTCCTCAACCATAGTACGGATTCAGAGATCTATGGAGACAAGACAGGGAGAAATCAAGAGCCACAAGTTATCATGAAAAGCAAGAAGAAGACTAGGGAGATTCGAGAGAATTGTTTGGTTCATTCTTGTACTCTTTTGATGATTTGTAATTATTTATTTATTTTTTCTAATTTAGTCATGCTTGGCTAAAATCTTTAGAGATTATTGGGTAAAAGTGTTTATGAACCTATGTGCATGAGCTCTTAGTTTCTTTAATATATTATTATTTAGGTTTAATACTTGTGTTGCAATTGTGTTTATCATTCTTGTTGCTAGTAGTTTAGGGCCCGAATTACTTGCTTCATAGCCATATTCATGTCTGAACGAGAGTTAGGAATAAATTAGGGCACACACAATTGCACCTATGCATATTGGGAAAGGGTAATTTATTAGGGAGATTTAATTCTTGATTATTGCCAGTTCGAGGGATGGTAGTAGTTAGGAATTTATGATGCTTGTTTTTGTTTTATTGGGTGATTATCGCACGAGAGTAGATATTCACCAGTGTTAGTGACTACGAGAGTAGCTCTATACCACTTTGCATCCTCACACTCGTATGAACCCAGATTTAATATTACATTAGGTTAGGCACTAGGGGAATAAACACTTGAATCCCAGGAATCTCAGTCTCTCTCCATTGTTTTCAAAACCCTGAATCTCTGCTTTATTTTATTTATTTTATGCAATCAATCATCCAAGTCAATTGTTTGGATTAGCTTTGAAGAATAAATTAGTAACTAGTGCTTGATACAACCACTTCCCTGTGGATCGATTACCCGATACTCCGGGTATTATTTGTTTGCAAATATACTACGCATCACTCGTATCGTGTGGTGTCAGAGTATGGTCTATAGTGCTCTTTATGTGCCTTGTGGGCTTGTTGTGGAGAGTCAATGTGCATGATGCACCCTTCCCCGTTTATCCCCTTATGAAGTCATTGTCGAGTCTTGCTTGTGTGTGTTGTCCATGGTGAAAAGAAAAGATATGTGACTGGCGGAAAAGATATGATTGGTGGTTGATGCACTGCGCGTGCTTGTGTGTGATGGTACTGCGGTACCGGTGTGTGATTTAAAGGCATCACAGATGCTATGAGTTCGGCGGTTGTGTAGGAGGTCATGTAGGCGGGGAACATGTTGTAACACCCCCGATTTTCAACAAATTTTAAAAGCTTAAACAAGAGACAAAGCTAAACATTAATCATTAAGCAACATAAGCAACGTCTAAACACGGAGGTGCTATGCCACACTTATATCAAACATAGGTGCACAGGCACATACTACAACTAAAGTAGTCTAACAATTCAACTTCTTAGGCTCACAGGCCTCAACAACTAATAAAGGAAGAGATCTAATCTATCTATAGGCCACAAGCGCGCTCTCCAAAGCTACTCAACCTATAAAAGATAAGGGGATAACACCTGGTCAGCGAATAATGTTGGTAACCCATCAACACGCGTTAAGTATCATAATATACATAGATATAATCAAAACCATTTGAAACTGAGAATACAGTATATATCATTTTAAAGCCGAGAGAGAGAAACATCAATAGACTCATCAATCACTCACAACAAAGGTCAAAGACCAACATACTCAACAAAACAATAGAACCACAAGCAACAAGCTCAACAACAAGGTACAACATGCGACACACAACGAAGGATTCACAATAGACATGCTCTTAAGCAATGGAAGGCCAGATTCACACCATAACGAGTTCCAAGTCCACATAGGACACCATCACACCAAGTCATATACCGTGGAGTCAGCACCACGGCTCGATTCCTAGTGGATCAGTGTGGAGGGCTCCAAATCACTAATCATGTATCACGTAGTCATCGCAACGACGCGGATCACATGCATAGTGTCATCGCAATGACAAGGACCGTAGCTCAATGGAAGCAGAGCTAGCAACTTTAAGTGTATACACCCTCTATTGAGATTCCAAGCTCAACGGGTTAGCTACCATCTCTGGCAACTGGAATGTGTTTCCAAGTTTCCCACAAGTAAAGTATCCAAATGGCAATCCAGAGCTTTAAACCCACTACCGGATGCAATCACACATAAGTCCCCACACTGTCCACTTTACCAGCTCAATCATCTCATCACATCAATCCATCATCTCAACAAGAGTCAATACACACGGAATCTAGAAATACAACAACACCTAGATTCCACACAAAGTGTGTACAACAGAGGATAAGCTCAACAATAGCTTAACCAATGAATAATCATACACACAGGATCACAACAAGGGATTTAAGCAAGGGGTTTCAATGAAGGACATGAAACGATACTCAACAAAAACAATGGACCTCAATCCAATATCAACATGGTTGGCAACACGAGTTGCCAATCCTTAATAGAAAAGGGACAAACAATACATACTAGCATTAATAACACCAAAACTAGCATGCATAACAAACGGGTAACCAAAATGGTTCCATCGAACCTTCAAGACTCATATTAGCCCAACGAATCACAAGGTTGGACCCTTAGCATGATTCAAGACGCCAAATCCTAACATGGATTCCTAACACATCGTTCTAGACATACGAAACATCAAGAAGACTCGCAAAAGCTCAAAAATTCAACAACGGGAGGTCAAAACATCAAATACCAAGAAGAAAGGATCACGGGGAACAAATCCCCGCAATCTCCACATATGTTCCCCGCGGGTGGGGCCACGGGTAGGGCTCCACCCGTGGTAGTACCCGCGGGGTACATCAGGGCCCAAAAATCAGCATTCGCGAAAATTCACTTTCAAGGCCAAGTTCAAGTCCAAATGACCCCAAATCTTCCACACAACAAAGATATGACTTGAACCTATGAATAGCTCAAATAAAAGCATTTAAGAACCCTAAATACAAGCTCTAAAAATGCATTATCACAAGATCATGCATCAATCACTCAAACACATCAAGAATATCACATAGAAGCCAATAATCATTCTTATCAAGTGAAAATAGGTTTTGTGTAGCATGGGTTACCTCTTGTAGACCAAAAACACCTTCTTCAACCTCAAAGCAAGACCAAAGCTCCTCTAGATCAACCTAGCACTTCACCTACCACTAGATCTTCTACAAACTCCCAAAACCCACAAGGTAGAAGAAAGATTTAGAGAAAAGATGGAGGAATCTTGTAAGGAAAAGGTAAGGAATGACAGATCTTACCATTCCTAGCCTTGTAGTGTTAGAAAGTTGGAATCTTGGCTTGGGATTTCTTGAAGAACTTATGAAGATCAACTCTAGGATTTCCTAGAGAGAAGGAGGAATAGGGAGCAAGAAAGAGATGTAGAGAGAAGGGGAATCCTGAAAAATGATTTGGGTTCCTTGGTTAGGGTAGGGTTTTAATGCTAGCATTGTGTGAAATGACCAAAAGGGCCCCTTCCTCCCAAAACTTGTTAGGAGAAAGACAAAATCTAGGGTACAAGGGTTAAAGCACAAGGTACTCATTGACCAAATTAAAAGAGTAAGGGATTTGGTCAAACTAGGTCTCTCAACTAATTTCAAAGGGAAATTAGGATAAGAATTGTAAAGCCACAAGGAATTAATTAAGGAATTAATTCGGGTTTTAGGGAATGAATTTCCGGGGTGTCACACATGCTCCGGAGGGATAAGGATGTGGTGTGTAGGGTGGCCTCGAGGTACAGGTTGGAACTGTTATAAGGTTGGAGAGGCGTAAAGTTTGGAACTTGGTATAAGGTTGGAACATGGACATGTCTTGTTGTGTACTCTTGATTTGTTGAGTCGTAATGTTATCTTGTCTTGTAGCTTGCTTGCTTGTGTATTTACGTGTCTTGTTGTGGCAAGTCGGTTGGTGTGTCTTGAGTCTTATTCCTGGTTTTGAAGCTATAGTTGTTTAGGACTATATTATGTATTCCCAAGTCTCAAAATGATTTCTTATATCTATATGTATGGTACTCAATGGGTGGGAGTGGGTTGCTTAGCATTATTCGCTAACGATTGTGATACCGTATGTTTTTCAGGTACTGATTAGTTGATCGAGAGCATGCTAGAAGGAGTTGCGGTTCCTGACCTAGTTAGTATTAACTTAGTTAGACGACCTGTGAGCTATGCTTGTATTCGGATAATGATTATGGATTATGCTTTGTTTAGTTAGTTTTAGCCTGTGTGTCTAGGTTCTCTAGCTTAGATGTGGCATAGCACCCCAACACTAATGTTTAGCTTCCGCTCTGTTTTGGGTATTAATGATAACTTTGCCTTTATTTCATAAGCTTTAATGGTTTTAAATTATGCTGAAAATTGAGGGTGTTACAAAAATTGTAACAATTAATTACTCATCACAATTATCATAAATTAGTGACAAAACTTGAAATCAATACAATTATTATCACAATTTAGTAAACTTTGTTACGGAATTATAGAGCGTCACAAATATTTGGAACAATTTCATCAAAAAAAAAATGACAATATTAGTGACAACAATATTTTTTTCTCACAATTGTTTCTCATTTCTAATGGTACTAACCAATTGTATTTTTATTGACAAATAAAGTTATCACAAATATTATAAACAAGAGTGACCAACAACTATTTGTCACAAAAAATACAAAAATTTGTGTCCACATTATATTTTATCACAATTACATTCGTTCCCGCCATAATTATAATGCCGCCAAAATGCACATACATTTAGTGACAACAAATAGTGACAACGTATGTTACGACACTATTATTCTAGTAATAGTGACAACTTATTCGTAATAAATACTTATTTATCACAATTACCATATTATTAGTGACAGAAAAAAGTTATCACAATTATCCCACACAATAGTGTCGAATTATTTTTTTGGTCACAAAAAGGATATTGTTTGTGACTAAATTACGAAGTGTCACAAAGATTTGTTACTAAATGTCTTCATTCTTGTAGTGACTCTGTATTCTAATCACACTAGAATCCATTCTCCCTCTCTCTGTATTATTATAAATATCCCTTTTATCACTCCTTATCTAACTAGGACTATTTATATCCATATAAATAGCTCCTTCATGTAATTTGCGTAGCTAAGCTATTCAATATCAATATTCTTCTCAGAATTAATTATTATTCTCACACATCTAGTGTTAGAGTTTTTTTAGTTTCACTCTCAGGATGTTTCTTAAATACAGTACATCTTTGATTATGGGTTGTTAGATCACTAGTGCCACTAGTTGTTGGACACTTAAATTTTTTACCATAATAATTACATGTACACTTATTCTTGTTGTTCTCTAACCTTGTAAAGTGAGTCCATACCTCAGACTTGGAGCAATTAGTTTTAGTGGAAGTGTAGTGCTTGAGCGTTTCTTCTTTTGCCCAATCGACTCTTCAATTGGCTCACTTGTAAACATTATATTGTAGTGTTTTGTTGACAAGATGAAAGAATCATCAATTTGTATAGTTAATATTTGCAAAACAAAAATCCCAAGTTAAAACAATAATTATTAACAATTTAACAATTGATTAATGAACTTTCAAATTCAATCAACAAGTTCAATGAAACAAGTTAATCAATAAGCCGCATAGGCTCTCTAGATTCTCTCTAGGGTTTTTGCAGACCTACTAGGGTTTTCCTAGGTTTTCAGACAAATTTTGTTCTTTTCCTCCCTGAGAGATGGCCGATGATGTTGTTATGGATGGCGAGGTCAACCAACGTGATGAGAGGCTGGCTGAGATGGAACAAACGCGTGATAGGGGTTTGTCGAAAGGTGTTGATTTGCGTCGGAACATGGAGGATAGGCGAACTGCTGGCTGGGCGCAAGAAGTAAGGGATTTTGGTGCGAATGGAAGGTCCCAGCCGACAGAAGAATTACGAGAAGGTGGAGGGAGGGGGGAACGTGGCAGTGGCTTAAGGCGTGGGGGAGGGCAGTTGGCAGGTGGTCTAGGCGGTGTGCATGGGGGTGGCGTGGGCAGTTTGAATGGAGGGGATGTCGGCAGTATGGGTAGAGGAGGGAATAGAGGAAGTATGGATCAGCATGGGAGGGGGGAGGGGGGAATTACACGCCAGCAAGGGGTAGTGGGGGGTGTGGCGGAGTTGACGGATAGATGGGCGGAGATGGCGTTGATGGAGGAGGAGGGGGCGGTGTTTATGCCGGAAGGTGGGGATGCGGTGGTAGAGGGTGATGGGGAGGAGGAGGAGGAGACTTGGAGGATTGTCGGGCGGTTTTTGACGCAGAAGATGATAAAACTAGACTTTATGAGGCAGGTTCTGGCGTCTGTTTGGCAACCGGTACGTGGAGTACAGGTAACGGAGATTCAAAGGGGTTTGTTCTTATTTGTGTTTTTCCATAAGACGGATATGGAATACGTGCTGAATGGGGGACCCTGGGCTTTTGAGAATAATGCTCTTGTGTGTCGAGAGGTGTTGGATGGGGTAAATCATGTGGATGTAGAGTTGGATATGATTGACATGTGGGTACAGTTGCATGATATGCCAAAGGGATACACGTCGCATGCAATTCTGGAACAGGCAGGGAATTTTTTGGGCTCTTTTGTTAAACATGATGACCGATTTGAAGGGGCGCCATGGCTAACGTTTCACCGTATTCGGGTGTCACTCTCGGTTGGTAAGCCACTTAGAAGAAGGATGAGGTTGATGAAGAGAGATGGGACTACAGCATGGGTAAATTTTAGATATGAACGGCTGCATAAGTTTTGCTACTTTTGTGGTTGTATGGGTCACTTGCATACTTTCTGGATACACGCTAGGGAGGCTACAATTCCGGTGGAAAGGTACCTGTACGGCCCGGATATGCGAGCTGGTGGATCCCGGAGCGCTCCTAGAGCGGTTGGGGATAGCTGGCTTGTTCCGGTTGGCGGGAAACTACGACCACTGGGAGTCAAGCTACGTGTGGTAGATGGGGGACAGGGAAGTGGGGGTGTCACACCCACGAGTATGTCTGATGATGAGGTGGTGGTGGCTACGGCAAAGCGTCGTAGGCATGGGACGGAGGGTGGGAGAAGATAGTGGAAACGATGAGGTAACAATTGCGGCTGTTTCAAAAAACTTGTCCATGGCGGGAGCTGGTGTTCAGCCCCGCCCATCATCATGAGTACTTTGAGCTGGAACTGTCGTGGCTTGGGCAATCCACGCACAGTTCGACAGATTGTGGGCCTAGCGTCCAGTAAGAAGCCGGATTTTGTGTTCTTGATGGAGACCAAGGTACCACGGATACATGCAGAACGGATCCGGGTTACGCTTGGGTATGAAGGTTTGTTTTATGTTGATAACGATGGTTTGAGTGGAGGAATGGCGCTTTTATGGAAGAAGAATAATACGGTGAGGCTTTTAACTTACTCGCAGAGTCATATTGATGTGGAAGTAAGCTTGTTTAATAAGTTATGGCGCATGACATGTATCTATGGTATCCCCGAGCGTGGTAGGCGGGAGGAGACATGGGATTTGCTTGGTACTCTGAAGACTAGATCCTTATTGCCCTGGGTGGTGATAGGAGATTTTAATAATCTGCTATATCAGCATGAGAAGAAGGGGGGAAATCCGTATCCTAACAGTCTGTTACGGGGTTTCGGAGATGCTGTGGATGACTGTGGTTTGATGCAAATGCCAATGAGAGGCCACCAGTTTACGTGGCAGAAGGGAAAGGGGACGCCGAATTGGATAGAGAAAAGGTTGGATAAGGCTTTAATAACGAATGATTGGGGTCTGCTCAATGAGAATGCATGGTTGGAGAATATTCGAACCCGGGCCTCGGACCACTCGATCCTTTTCCTCAGTATTAATGCGATCTGCATGTCGAGGGGAAGGGGGCCGCGGGGATTCAGGTTTGAAATGGCTTGGCTATTAGATGAGGGGTGCAAAGAGGTAGTAGAAACGGCCTGGCAGGAGGGGAAGACGGAGGGATTGCTGCATTGCCAGCAGTTGTGTGGAGAAAAATTAATGCGGTAGGGGGGAGACCAGTTTCATAAATTCGGGAAACGAATTAACCAACTACAGCAGAGACAGGATGCCATACAAAATAGGCGAGATTTGGTAGCGCTAGCTGAGTACCAACAGATTGAGAATTCCCTGAAACGAATCGAGGCCTAGGAGGATGTGTTCTGGAGGCAGCGAGCTAAGCAGCACTGGCTACGCGGGGCTGATGCGAATACAAAATTTTATCACAGGTATGCCTCTGCACGTAGGAAAAAGAATTTTATTTCTAGTATTAAATGTAATGCTGGTAATTGGGTGGAGGGGGATGATATGCATGCAGCTATACAAAATTACTTTGACAATATTTTTGCCTCTAGTGGATTGAGTTGTGATGATCCACTTTTTGGGGTCCTAGCCCCACGAGTAACGTTAGAACAGAATGTGATGCTTGACCGCCCTTTTGAAAATAATGAGGTTAAAGAGGCTCTCTTTGCAATGTATCCGGATAAGGCACCGGGTCCGGATGGTTTAAACCCGGGTTTTTACCAGCAGTTTTGGGAGATAGTGGGAGGAGATGTATCTGGCTTTATAACGAATGCTTTGAATTCCTGTGTATTCCCTGAGGGATTGAATGATACTAACATTGTTTTGATACCGAAGAAAGAGATGCCTGAGACAGTTGCAGATTTAAGGTCGATTGCGTTAAGTAATGTCATTTACAGAGTTATGGCCAAGATGATAGCAAATAGGATGAAAACACTAATGGGAGGATTAATATCAGAATCCCAGAGTGCTTTTATCCCGGGAAGGCTAATCACTGACAACATTCTAGTAGCAGCAGAGGTGGGGCATTATCTGAAGAGAAAGCAGTGTGGTAGAGTGGGGTGGAGTGCTTTGAAGTTAGATATGTCAAAAGCCTATGACAGAATGGAGTGGAATTTTCTTGAAAAAATGCTGACTGTTATGGGTTTTAGTGAGAAGTGGATAAAGCTCATTATGCTGTGTGTAACGACTGTTAATTATACTGTAATGGTCAATGGTATAGCAGGGGGGCATGTAAAACCAACCAGGGGACTCAGGCAGGGAGACCCTCTCTCCCCGTATTTATTTATTATTTGTGCAGAGGCTCTCTGGATGATATTACAGTATGAACAGTTGGCAGGCTCAATACATGGGTGCAGAGTTGCAAGGGGAGCGCCACCTGTATCGCACCTATTTTTTGCAGATGATAGTCTCCTATTTTTTAAAGCAAATATCCAGGAGACGGGAGTTATAAGGCAGTGCCTTGAAAGGTATGAGAAATTGTCAGGCCAGGTGGTGAATTATAATAAATCTAATATATGTTTTAGCAGAAATACCCAGGAGGCTGACTGGATGCAGATAGCGGATTGTCTGGGGGTGGTGCAAGCACCCAATTTTGGAAAATATTTGGGCCTACCTTCCTTTGTAGGGAGAAATAACAGAGCTGTTTTTTCGTATGTGGAGGAAAAGATCAGGCAACGAATTGGCTCGTGGAGTAAAAAGTTACTTTCTCAGGCTGGTAAGGAAGTGTTATTGAAAAGTGTAGCGCAATCTATGCCTACCTATTCAATGAGTGTTTTCCTGTTACCTGGGACAGTTTGTCAGTCAATTGAGCGAACTATGAATAAATATTGGTGGGGGAATGGAAGAGAAAGGGGAATACATTGGAAGGCATGGGACAGGTTGTGCATACCAAAGAAGTATGGTGGTATGGGTTTTAAAGAACTAAGGGCTTTTAATCTAGCTATGCTGGGTAAACAGGCATGGCATTTTTTAACGGACCCAGGATCACTTGTGGCTAAAGTTTATAAGGCAAGGTATTATCCCACAACCAGTTTTACAGATGCAACTATTGGTAATTGCCCAAGTTACTGTTGGAGAAGTATAATGGCAGCTCATGCAATGGTAGTCTCAGGGGTGCGAAGGAGAATTGGGAATGGGCAGACAACTTTAATATGGGGACATCCGTGGTTACGAGATAATCCTAGCCCATTGATTCAAACAGAAATGCCACAGCAATTGAGAGAAGCGCGAGTTGCAGGATTAATTGATTTACAGACTCATACCTGGGATCCACATATTTTGTCTGACTTATTTATTCCTGAAGATGTGGAGCGAATAAATATGATCCCTGTGAGTCCTGAGTATGAGGACTCATGGTATTGGATGAGTGACCCCAAGGGGATATATACAGTAAAGAATGCCTATAGGCATATTGTGGGTGATTATGAGAATAATCCAGCAGATTTTGATAAATGGGTTGCAATGTGGAAAATAAAAGTCCCCCCAAGTGGAAAACTTTCTTGTGGAGAGCCATATGTGACATTTTGCCAACAACCCTAAACTTGATATTTAAAAGGGTGGAGGTGGAACCAACATGCCCAATGTGTGGTTTAGATCATGAAGATGTGTTACATGCTTTAGTACTTTGTGAACATTCTAGACTTGTTTGGAATATAACACAATTGCCTGTTATTAATATTATTGCAGACTCTTTTACAACATGGCTAAAAGGGGCTATGGCGGTCTTAACAGAGGAGCAGACCCGGTTAATGGTAGCAATATTATATTATATTTGGAGAACTCGGAATTCAGCTGTCTGGAAGGGATCAATGATGCGACCTGCCCAATTAGCCAGAGCAGCCACTGTAGCACTACAGGCATACGGCGCTGCCCATGTCCGCCGAACCGAGCCGGCAGCAGCATCGGAGCACTTAAACGGTTCAGGGGAGGGCAGTCTACGGTGTTATGTAGATGCGGGTTTCAGGCACGACACGGGCGAGGCTACGTACGACATGATAATAATAGCGCCAGATGGCTCTTTTGTGGCAGCAAGGAATGGCAAGTTACCGGTTTGTTTTTCACCACTTATGGCGAAGGCCCAGGCATACAAGGAAGCACTATCCTGGCTACTTGAACGAAGCAACACATCAGTAAGTTTACTCACGGATTGCATGGAATTGGCTACGATTATTCGACGCCATCACACGCCGATCCATTCGTACGTTGGGGTCACAATTGACCAATGCAGAACGTTTATGTCTTTATTTAATCGTATTACTTTGGATTACATCTCTAGACAGGTTAATTTACATGCGCATACTTTAGCTACGTTAGCATTTACACAGGATCAAGTTATGTACTGGGATGCTATCCCACCTGACGCTATTTCGACTTTGATTCATTAATACAATCGCAAGATTGACCTTCAAAAAAAATAAGCCGCATAGAAGTTAGATCAACATTCACAAACATAGCTTATATAACTAAGGTTCAATAAGAACATGGAAACTTCACCAACTAAACAAATTATGAATGATAAGGTTCAATAAGAAGTTAAGAACATGGAGCCATGCTAGTGTCGAAGTGGTTGCAGTATATTTCTCAAACAAATAATTACTCGGAGTAACGAGTTATCGATCCACAGGGAAGTAGGGCATATTAAGTACTAGCTATTAATATATTCTTATGAAGCTAATCATAACGAAAGACATGGAGGGTTGATTAAAATAATTTAAAAAAAAAAAAAAAAAAAAAAAAAAAAAAAAAAGAAAGCAAAGTAGCAGGTTTGTGAAAACAATAGAGAGAGAATGAGATTCTTGAGAATGCAAGGGGTTGTTTACCAACTTGGAAAAATAGAGAATTTTCCAGAAAATTGGAGAATTGAAGAAGTGGAAAAATGAAAATTGGAGAACTTGTTTACTAAATTTATTCTTCCAAATCCAATCTCATCTCCATTCTTCCAATTCTAATAGAAATTTGGAGAAAGGAAAATAACTATTCTCCAAATGGAGGAATGGAACACACGGGTGAACAGTGGAATTTGGGCGTGAGGTCCTGTGATTGAATCTTGCCTGCGTTTGTTTCATTTTCACAGCTTCTTTCTTTCTTCCCTTCGTTTTTTCCCCTCTTTTTTTTTTTTTATTTCTTTCGAATTCTTTCTTCTTTTTTAATAATAATAATAATAATAATAATAATAATAATAATAATAATAATAATAATAATAATAATAATAATATATTATTATTATTATTATTATTATTATTATTATTCTCACTTTCTTTCTTACCTTCGTTTTTCCCCTCCTTTCTTTTTTTTTTTTCAAATTCTTTCTAATTATTATTATTATTATTATTATTATTATTATTATTATTATTATTATTATTATTATTATTATTCCCACTTTCTTTCTTATCTTCGTTTTTCCCCTCCTTTCTTTTTTTTTTTTTTCAAATTCTTTCTGATTATTATTATTATTATTATTATTATTATTATTATTATTATTATTATTATTATTATTATTATTATTATTATTATTATTATTATTATTATTCCCCCTTTCTTTCTTCCCTTCGTCCTCCTTTTTTTTCCGAATTCTTTCTTATTATTATTATTATTATTATTATTATTATTATTAATTTTTCTATAATTTTTATTGCAATGATTTCTTCACTTTTGTATTTTTAGCTGCAATTACAAAATTCGAATATAGATTTCTTATACCTTTACAGATAATAATATTTATTTTTATAAAAAATATATGCTTATTACTTAAAAAAATTCACTTTTGTATTTGTATATATGTTATTATTGGGTATGTTGTTTTGTAATCGGTTGTAAATTATTTAGTGTAAGATTTTTATTGGTGTATTATTATTATTATTATTATTAGAAAAATGAAAAAATGGAGAAATAGCGAATGAAAATTAGAAAACTGGAAAAATGAAAAATTGGAGAAATAGAGAAGAAAAATGGAGAAATGGAGAAGAAAAACTGGAGAAATGGAAAACTGGAAATGGAAAAACAGAAGAATGAAGTAAACGACCCCCAAACATTTGAAAGAGTTACTCCCGTAATCTCTAACCGAAAACAAGTGAATATTCACTCCCGTGATATAAACACTCGACAATATAAGAACAAGCATTCATCATAAATTTCAAATAACTACTACCATCTTCCGATGTGCAATAATCAAGAATTAAACTCCTTAACCAATATTCACTCTCTCAAGGTGTTATAGTTAAGTGCAACTGTGTATACCCTAAATTATGCCTAACTCCCGTTATAACATAAAGAAAGCTATGAAACGAGTAACTATGACCACTAATTACTTGCATCAACAAATATGAAATCACAATTGCAACACAAGCATAAAACCTAAATATTAATATATTAAAGAATCCGAGAACACAGACACATAGGTTCATAAACACTTTCACCCAAGAATCTCTAAGAAACTTAGCCACACATGGCTAATATAGAATTCATAGCAATAATAAAGAGTTTGCAAGGAATCAAAGAAAGTAAAAAAAAAAAAAAAAAATAAACCAAGTGATTCTCCCAAATCTCCCTAACTTTTTTTCTTCCTTCCCAAGACAATTTGTAGCTCTTGATTCCCCTCTTTCTTGTCTCCAAAACACAGCATCTCGTCCTTTAGGGTTGAGGGAAGATGGGCTTTTTAGTGGGAACCAAGCTGGGAACGAAATAGGAAATTTTTGCGTGAAATTTGAAAGCTGCCGAGTTGACCTCTCGACGCGTCGAGCCGGGGCGCCCAACCTTCCGGACCTTATTGGAAATGTTTAACGCATCGAGTCGGAGACTTGACGCATCAAAACGGACGTCGATTCTTGGAGCTCACGGCTGGCACTTCTCAATGCGTCGAGTCTTCTGGACTCAAACCGCGAACCTACTGTAACTTTTGGACGCGTCGAAGCCATGGGCTCGACGCGTCGAATCTCCTGTGTTAGCATCCTCTAGTCCATTTCGGCTCCCAACTCGTCCTAGAACTTTTCTTGTTTTTGCGATTGACCTACAGTAGTTCCAAAACACTAACAAACACCGTAAAATATTCAAAACAAGTGTACAACCAATTTTTAATAAGAAAACAAGGGAATAGGGGCAGTTAAAGTAACATTTTCATTGAACTTAAACTCAACAAATAGATTCAAACCAATACTAGAAACATGTACAATTAGGCTCACATCACGAAGACTAGATAAAATTTCAAGTCTTCGACTTTCGGTTCCATCCTTCAAGTCCAGAAATTCCATTCTTCGTAGCGGGAAATTTCATATTAGAATATAAGACTAGAAGCATGGAGCAGGAAACTAGAAGAAAACAATGTCCCCAATTCAACCTTCGCCGATAGGGGAACCAGAGCTCAACGCTGTCGCAGGGGAGGGGCGAACACCGTAATTAGGAATAGTTGATCCTATGACTTAAAATTGAGGAGGACAACATGAAAAGTGATAGAAAAAATCTCATCTATAGTGGCGCTAAGGCTAACGTAATGGAGCACAACAAAAACTCTAATAACACCAAAAAAAAGATAGACAAAAATTTAATTCTAAAGATAGTGTTTCCAATAACAAGTTTCATGAAAATGTTTAAACTATGGAAAGATAGATCACAAATCTTCTTATTGCAAATCACCAAAGAAGAAGAACAAGTCATCTCTAACCAACATGAGGAAAAGCAATAACAAGGAAGATAAGATCATCCTCTTCTTCCATGGTGATTGAGGTAAACTTGATTGGTTTGAACTAAATAAAGTAGTTCATTTACACTAGGCAACCTAACACATTTGTTCGAACCAGCAAAAAGTAAATCCAGTCCCTTCAATTTTCAATTATGATAAGTGTTTTGACTTATGTTGGATTCGTCGTACATTAAAATGCATAGTTTTATAGTGTTAATCATTGTATATTGGGAAACAAACACTTATATAACTCTGTCACTTCAAAAAGGAAACAATATAATTAAAAAAAAAAAAAAAAAATGTGTGTGACGTAGACATAGGTTTTCGTAGTTTAATGTCCGTGCATATAGTTTTTGAGTGTGTTATAATAATAATTTTTTCAACATCTCAAATTTAAAAGAAAAAAAAAATTCTTGACATTGCATGGGACGTTAGAACAAATTAGACCTTAATGATGATAAAGTAGTATTTGTGAGAATTTCTCATAATGTGTAATGTGAAATGCATTACACTACTCCCTCTTCCTTCCAATCTTATATTCTCATCCCAAGAATGCACTTATCTTAGTGGGGAGATGAAAGTGACGTTGATGATAACTTGAGTTTTCGAAACTTTATCATGTCTTGTCCTAGTGGAATTAACTGGAAAGGCAGAAAACTTAGCTAACTAGTAAATCCACCTAAAATAATGTTTATAAATTTTTCTTTAGAGTTAATATCAACTGGGGTATTCCGAATATAATGACGTTGCTACGTTTACTCTAAACTTTCAATTTAACTCATTGTGATCTTTGAACTTTTAAAGTTAACTACCCTTGTCCTTCAACTTCCAAGTTAATCATTCATGGTCCTTTTAACTTTTAAAATTTTAATCAGCCCTGGTCTTAACTTTGCGCTTACTTAAACTAACGGAAAGACCACATCTGATTAAATTTGAAAGTTGAAGGATTATGAGTAGTTAAATTGAAAGTTTAAGACTAAACGTGATAATGTTACTATACTCGGAAGACCCCAACTGGTATTAACTATTTTCTTTACTAGCAGCTATATGATACACAGTTCAAATCTTATCAAAAAAAAAAAAAGTATAAATTTGACTTGTTGTGAGCTAGTTAATGCACATTTATAATTTAATTATCATCTCTGGTCTACTAATTTTTAGGACAAAGAACAATGAGGATCTTATAGAGTTTGGGTTCAAACGTATGTAAAACATGCCCCAACTTTTTGTCTTCCATGATTGTAAAATAAAGCAGAAGGGTCAAATATGCTTATTACTACTCACAAGTATGTACTTAATTAACTCATTGATCTAAAATAAAAGCTAATTTGATACATAAACTTTCTAAAATTTTTGCATTTATCATTTTTTCAAGTTCTATCCGGTTTTGATGATATGACATCCGATTAAACTGATGTGGTTATTATTATTTTTTACATGACATCTAACAAAATAATATTTTTCTTGACATGGCTTTAACCTATTAAAAAGTTGATATTTCACTTTTCGGTGCCTCCAATTTCACTAATTATAATATAATTTCATATTTCGGTGGAATTGCTTCAATCCACCGGAAATTAGATTTTTCACTTTTGGTGGTGTAGCATCACTCCAATTCCACCTGAGATGACTAAAACAAGAACTTCTATTACAAATGCATCATTCTTATTTTGTTCTCATTCTAAAAATTATACCAATATAAAAACAATATACATATTCACACATTCCATCTTTGACAACAAAAAAATTTCTTCCCAGAAATGTGAGTTCTGCAAATTGGGGCTTTAAATCCACAATGACATACAGTACATCGCATGCTCACACTTTAAGTTGTTTTGTGCACCTGATGACGCCAAAGAAGAAGACATTTCAAACCAAGAAGACGAGCGAAGCTGATACAATTTTGAGATGATGAAGTTGAGAAAGAAGTCGAAGATGGATTTGAGAAGACAAAACTGAAGAAAGAAGTCGAAGATGAAAAACATATTAATATGGTTTGCTTGGTTTTAATTTATAGCCTTAATACATTTCATGTCAACAATTTTATTTTTTTTTTATAATTAAATTTTCATGTCAGCTTAATTTATATCCATTGGCAACTTGATGGAACCTGATAAAATTAGTAAATGTAAGAATTTTAGAAAATTTATGTATCAAATTAACTCTTATTTTAGACCAATAAATTAATTGAGCATTTGTAAGTAGTAGATAACCTAACTATTTGATCCTTCAACTTAAAATAAATTGAGTACCTATTTAAGATATCATTCAATTTAATTATTGCTTTCTACATCCTTAAAATATTGTAAAAACATTCAAACAAACATAGTGCTAAGTGTTGGGATAACACCCAATCGATCAGTCCATACGGATTTAATCAAGAGTTAATACCCAAAATAGTCCATCGACTATGTCGTAATTACTAATTTAGTCCTCGACTATCATTCTTACCCAATTAAGTCCTCAACTATACAATTTTTACCCAATTTAGTCCTTTGTCAATTTGACTGTTTGTTGACTGTCAAAAGTGGAAATAAAGTTGTAATTTTACAAGTTTTCTCCTTCCTCCTCATTTAGCAGCGCCAAACCATGTAGCAATAAGCTCCGGTTGGGTTCTAAACCTGTCAGTATCGAAGTAGTGGTTATACATCGGATAGCCCATGAATTTGATTTTCAACGATTTTTTGACGATCAAAATCTGATCGGAGTGTATTGCTGCATGGTTTGGCGCTGCTAAATGGAGAGGAAGGAGAAATCTTGTAAAATTATAATTTTATCCCGACTTTTGACAGTCAACAAACAGTCAAATTAATACAGAGGACTAAATTGGGTAAGAATTGTATAGTTGAGGACTAAATTGGGTAAGAATTGTATAGTTGAGGACTTAATTGAGTAAAAGTTACATAGTTGAGGACTTAATTGGGTAAGAATGATAGTTGAGGACCAAATTGATAATTATGACATAATCGAGGGACCATTTTAGGTATTAACTCTTTAATCAATATGAGGTACTAATTTGAATAGATAAATAATAAATAGTACACTGAATTTTTAACATACAAACCTTTTTTTTTCTTTAAAAAAAAAAAAAAAAAAAAAAAAAAAAAAAAAAAAAAAAAAAGAAAGAGAGAGAGATCAGTCATTTTTAGGTCAAATCAAACTAAAAACAATTTTATTATTATTTTTGGTGCATACATAGGGTGTCAATGCGGGTCAATCGATTTGCCCCATTGCAAGTTTTTAGATGTTTTTTTTAATGTTTCTGTTTGTTTCGATTTTGGAAATAGTTTTAATAGCTAGGATTCTTATGCTTGATTTTAAAGATTGCATGCACTTATATTTTTGATAGGATCTCATTTATTTACAAGAACAAAACTACAAAAATTCAAAAATCAACATTGATCGAAAAAAATAGTTAAATGAGTGAAAAATAATTGTCATACTCAAAAGTTACAAGTTTGTATTGTTATTGCGAACATCATCTTAATATCAAGTATCAACGTGTGACCTGCCGCAGGAGTCGAGTGACATGAAAGTGTTGGTTAGTTGAAATGCGGTGTAGAGGAACTTAGGCGAGTGGCAGAAGAATCTTTTTAGGATTCTTGACACTTGTACACCCAGGAGGAATCTATAAAGCAAATTCCATGGCATCCTATGGAAGCATGTAAAGGGTGTTGTTTCTTGACCTTTCTTCACCCCCAAAGAATAATAATACTTTTAGAAGAAGAAGAAGACGACGATGTTGCCTCCTGCCCTCTTATGCCATTCCACTCGCACTGCTTTTTGGCATCTCTTACATAATTTAATTTAATGCTCTTTGAAAAGACCACTCCTTCAACACCAACGTAACGCTGATTATATATTGTTCCCAAACCTCAAGAGCCCCACGTCCCAATCCGACAGAACACTTGAGAGGATGTAAATCATGGTAACTCAATTGAACACAGAGATTAGATATTTGTTTACTGTGCATAAGGAGTCCCCCTCAATTACTTTGAGAAGTTGCTCCCACACTGACGCAGGTAATAAGACACGATCCCGTATCATTATTCCCAAACTTCACCCATATATATATATATATATATATATATATATATATATATATATATATATATATATATATATATATATATATATATATGGTTCCCGCGCGGTTGACCTTCTCAGGTGTGGTTGTGCGGTTGTTAAGGTGCGAGGTTTTCCTTCCTTAAGGTGCGTGGTTTTCCTTCTTAAGGTCCGTTGTTTTCCTTCTTAAGGTGCGTGATTTGTATGCTTAAGGTGCGTAAGTTATTGAAATTTAAAGTGCGCCATTTTAAAACCTTAGGTGCGTGTTTGTGTTCTTAAGGTGCATGATTTGTGTGCTTAAAGTGTGTGATTTGTGTACTTAAGGTACGTCGGCATCAAACTTTAGGTGTGTGTGGGTTGTGTTCTTAAGGTGCGTCAACCGCACGGGAAGTCATCTCGCACCTGAACCCTTCCCTATATATATATATATATATATATATATATATATATATATATATATATTTGTGTGTGTGTATGGATTCCTCATGATAAGGAACGAAATTCTATGTGCAACTTGCTCAAATAATCTTTTACTAATGTTACCTAATTATATTATTCTCCCTAGACAACGTGGTGATTTGAGAAGACTAATTTTTTGATGCGAGTGTGAAGGAGAATGGGATTTACGTACACAGCCACTTTCCTTTCGGCTGTATGAATTATGAAAGTTGTCTTTTGCATGAATGGACAGAAACTGCGCTATTACCCAGAGGATTCTGTGTATTCCTAAAGACTTATTATGGTCCCTAGAAAAATATACCATACATTAATTCACTTATTCACATCATAAAACTATGCTTAATTTTGATAATGCTATAATAATAATTATTAAAATGAAATATTGTCTTCATGACCTTGGAGTTTTTAGTTTTTCAATAGTGATTTTTTTTCACTTTTGGTCCTATGACTATTAGATCATTTCTATATTTGGTCCCCAACTATTATTTTTTTAATATTTGATTCCACGACTTTTAAAACCTTGCTATCCTCTGGCCTTATTTCTGGTCACGGGTGATCAAATTTGTATATCTATGTTGTTGAACATGAGTGCATGGTAATCAAGTGACTAATCTTAAATTACAAAATTGTCATTTTTTACAACATTTTTAAACTAAAAAAATTAAAAAAAAAAATGGTCACCAAGACCATAAATTAGGTCAGAAAACCAAATATGGCAAGGTTTTAAAAGTTTTGAGACTAAATGTGCAAAACATTAATAATCAGTGACCAAATGTGAAAACGATATAATAACCGTAGACAAAAAATGGAACAAACTCATTTCAATAAGATTCTATCTTAGCCTCTAAGGTCTCTTAGATGTTACTTTCGTGGGATGTGTTTGTATGACCTAATCTTGCCATTGCGGGAGAAGTAAATTATTAAAACGATTGGTTAATCAGTTAAACTAGTTGTTTATCTATTTGTAGCTTTTTCAATGGTATAGTCCAAGGTTTAGGGTAGTAGTGTGTAGCTTCCAAAACATGGATCAGAGGTACAAAACCAAGAAAAGATCCTCCTAAATGTCTTGTCTGTAAACTATTGAGTCATCGTGATACAAATCATGCCAAATATTCTATCAGTCCAAGTGTGAGGGACCTTTAGAGTTGGACGTTCAATTTTTGGAAGAAGAGGTACAAAAGCAAAATTACAAAATCTTCCTTTGATCATGCCTAGGAAAAACAGTAGCCTGACCAAGAAGGAAGTACATTATATTACAAGACTACATATAACATATGACATGCATGCTCTAATACTACATTATTATTCATAATAGGGAAAATGGCACTTTTTCCCCCTAAGTTATATACTTATAGCACTTTTTCCCTATCAATTATTTATGTAAGCACATTAACCCCCTCAATTATTTTAAAAGTGGTGGTTTTTCCCCCTTGATATATTAAATTGACATTTCTACCCTTAAAGTAAACATTTTATTTATTTTATTTCTCCAACAAATTATTGTGTATATGTAGCAATGACCACGGTTCGGTTCGAACTGAACCGGACACTATAGCAATCGAATTAAAAGTTTTCGGATATGATTCAGATCTAGAATCCAATATTTAGATTTCAATTTATTAAATTTATGAACCAAAAAAACTGGATCATGAACCGTGAACCGGCGGTTCCGGATCCGGTTCGCGATTTTGAACCGTCTTTATTTTAAATTTTATTTTAAAATAGTCTAAATTCAACAATAAATGTATTTTATTTTTTCAGTTCGGAACATGAACCGACCATTTCGATTTGCGATTTTAATAAACTCTAAATATCGCGTTTTGATTCTAAATTGTAATTGAAATATTTTGGTTTGGTTGCTATAGTATCTGTTTGGTTTGAACCAAATTATAGTAATAATTTGTTGGAGAAGAAAAATAAATGAAATATTTATTTTAAATATTTATTTTAAGGGTAAATATGTCCATTTAACATTTTAGGGGGGAAAAGAGCCACTTAAATAATTGAGGGGGAAAAAATACTATAAGTATATAACTCAGGGGAAAAAAGTGTCATTTTCCCTTCATAATAATTATTATACGGAGTAATTATTATTATACAAGTTGGATTTGAGTTGATTGATCTCTATCTGCGCATGTCTAAAATCAAATTGCAGATTCCGGCGAATCACAGGGCTGCCCAATCAATCTCCGCTGACGGATACTTGTCCAGGATGATATTCTCCCATTCCAAGAACGTGATCTCAGATTCCGGCGAAGATGCCGCTCCGACACCGGAGGACTCTGTTTTAACGTTCACAGCATTCTCGGCAGCGCCGGAGCCAAAACAGGGCTCCTCGGAATTCCTCTGTTGTTCATGGGACTTGGAGTTGTCATTATTATGAGTCAAGCTCTGGCAAATGGCTTCCAGCTTTGCGACAACCGAGGAGTGCAGCGGCTTGAACCCTTCGACGCCGTGGTCGTGGCTGAGAAAGTGTGGGAAATTCAGCCTCGCATTCTCTCCTCTCAGCTTGTAAGCCGCCTTATCGTGAGCCATGGCGGCTTCTTCCGCCGTGTCGAAGGTTCCTAGCCAGAGCCTGGTTCTGTTCTTCGGCAGCCGGATTTCGGCTACCCATTTCCCCCAATGCCGCTGTCTCACCCCCCGGTAAAGCTTCCCCGGCTTCTGCTTCATCGGGACTGGTTTCGTTCCCAAAGGGGGGGATTTCTGCTGATTCTGAAACAGAGTAAAAACAGGGGAAGAAGATGATGACAGAGCAGCTAAAGCCTCTTTCTGCTGTTGATGTTGGAGTTCAATTTGAGTTTGGATTTCAAGAATATGAGATGGAGAAAGGCCGTTCAGCCCAATCGGACCTGATTGTTCAAAACCCACACTCGCAAACCCATCGGAAAATGCTCGGTTTGCGGAAGGAATTGGAACGGAACCAGGAAACACATTGGGCTCTGCGGTGAAACAAGACTCAAGAGAGTAATAAGAAGAAGAAGAAGAAGAAGAAGAAGAAGAAGAAGAAGAAGAAGAAGAAGAAGAAGCATAATTCATAAAAGGTTGAAGTGCTAGCATGAGTTCTTCACTAAAGGGATCTGCAAATACAGGACTGCTGCTACTGTATACATCTATAGCTGCTGCCATGGCTTCCAAACAGATATTAACACACAAAAACTAACTGCAGTGAAAATTAAAGCAGAAAATATAACTTACACACACCGATCCGAGTACAAGTAAAGAAGAAAACCAAGAACCAAAACCGACCAGAAAGGATATAAAAATAGACCTCCTGGTTGTTCTGATCAAAGAAAAAGAAAAACCAAAACCTGGATCTCTATTCTGAACCACCTGGCTTTCAAAAAGATCACTCTTTAATAAAGATTTCCGAAAATCAATAAAAAAACAAGGAAACCCTTTTAGAAATCTTAAATTGTTTAGGATTTTGAAAGACAGACGATGACAGAAAGGGATCTCAAGAAGCGGGGATCATACAGAAGGGGGAAGAAAGCAAAAGAAAGAAAGAAAGAAGCAAATTCACACAGCTCTAATGGCCTACCTGATTCTTACACTCTTGGAGAACCCTCATAACTCCCTCCATCTATATATAAAGCCCGCCAACGTCTGCGGCTTTGTCTATTGGTTAATTTTAGAATCTTCTTCACCTCCACTCAATCCTTATTCGTTCCGTCCCTCATTTAACCTTTTTTTTTCCCTCTCTCTCTCTCTCAATTCTGTAGCTTAGCAACTCAAATGAAATAGACATTTTTTTACTATAAGATTTGGGAAAGCAAATGGTATGCCTATAGTTAACATATTATGTGTCTGCATTAATTGATTATATGTCGATAAATAAATTAAAGACACAATAATATGTTAACTACAAACTCATAATATGTATAATATGTTAACGCTAAGGTACATAATATGTGTTTGTAATTACCAAATTATGTGCTTTCAATTTATTTACATACACATTATAGTTAGTAAATTATATGTTATTAATTTATTTATAGACATATAATTTATTAATTTTTTTAAATTATATAATTTATTAATTAAATACACATAATAAATTAAATGCAGATATATAATTTTTGAATGAAGGTCCACCATGTAAATTGGACCTCATCCATAGTATTACAATTGCTACTCATTACCTAGCTCTAGCTACTAGTTAGGCCCAAATTATAGTATGAGCCCTGCTAGTCTTGGCAACGATGATGTGCATGCAATGGACAAGAATGATGTGGCAAGATATATGACATGTTAATATGGCATGACAAAATACATGACTCGACAGTCGACAATAATAACTCATAACACACTGATGTCGGGGGAGGAGAGCAATGGTGCAAATAATGCGTTATAATCTGTTTTATTAATTGAATAATTTTGTTTATTTATTTGAGAGAAAATTACCGATTTGATCCCTCGACTATGAGGATTTTACTAATTTGGTCTTCGATTATCAAAATTACTCAATTTGGTCTCCGACTATGACATTTTTACCTGATTTGGTCCTAAATGTTATTTGCCGGTCAAACCTAAAAGGTAATTTTGGGATTTAAAAAAAGCTAAGTATCTTCCTTCTTTTTCCCTAAATATAAGTCGTTTGTTTTATATAGATAAGTTATTTGTTTTCGATAGCAGTCGCAACTTCAATATGCAACCAAAGTGCAGTGAATCATCTTCATCCAACTATAAGAATCGAATGATGTTCGAAAATGGAGATGCTTATAGCTGGATGAAAATGATGTTGGTACAAGGCAGCAAATTTTTGAACATCATTCGATTATTATAGGTAGATGAAGATGATTCACGGCACTTTGGTTGCATATTGAAGTTGCGACTGCTATCGAAAACAAATAACCTATCTATATAAAACAAACGACTTAGATTTAATAAAGAAGAAGGAAGATACCTTTTTAAAATTCCAAAATTTCTCTTTAGGTTTGACCTGCAAATAACACGTAGGACCAAATCAGGTAAAAATGTCATAGTCGAGGACCAAATTGAGTAATTTTGGTAGTCGAAGACCAAATTGGTGAAATCCTCATAGTCGAGGGACCAAATCGGTAATTTTCTCATTTATTTGAGTACTACTGACTATATATTACATTGTAGTTTCTATTCATCTGCACAATGAGTTAACATTGCCCCCATTAAGATTTGATTTCATGACCTCTCATATAAAAAAAGTCACTATTTGTCATCTAAGCACAAAGTGCTTGCCTCTAATTAATTATACTTCATATTTATTTTTATTGCGTTTTAAAATATGTATTATTTTTTTTCCTATTTAACAATATTTTCAACTTTGTCCCTGCTCATGTAGTAAAAGTATCATATTTTTCTATATCTAATTTTTTTCTTTATTATTGAAAAAGAAAAAACATTCTCAATTTTTTATTGCATTTTAACAGCTACTTCATATTGAATTTGTAAATAGTATGCAACTATGCATGTATATATTAAACTTGTGAACACTTTGCATTAAACCTTTAATAAATATTACGACTAAGTTTTTGATATTTCATATTTCGTTTATGTATTGATCTTTTGTAAATTAGATAATGAACTCGTATAATAATGTGTAAATATTAAAACTGTAACTATATCAGAATCAATCATAAACAGCAAACTCATCTATTAAAGGTTTCAAAAGAAAAAAAGTAAAAAATGTATCAACCAAAATAAAACAAGTGGGCACCCAAAAAAAAAAAAAAACAAAGATTTTCAATTTGAGATCTAATTCAAAATCGAACTTCCATTCCATGTAATAAGGGCATGAAGCTGGTCGATCAGGATTGTGTCAAGTAAAATGATAAATGATCAGGTCAATACTTTAATTTCACTACAAAAATCAATTCAACAGTGAAGTTTAGGGTGTGTTTGGTTCAAATAAAATGATAAAATGATAAATGATATGATAATCAAGTCAATATCCTAATTTCACTATAAAAGTCAATTTAAGAGTGGAAGTTTAGGGTGCATTTGGTTCAAATAAAATGATAAATGATATGATAATCAAGTCAATACCCTAATTTCACTACAAAAGTTAATTCAAGAGTAGAAGTTTATGGCGCGTTTAGTTCAAACATTGAAATCGGAATGATAATGAGAATCAAATTAAATACTTGGTAATTGTAACCAGTTTTATAAGAATGAGCCACTTTGTTTGGTATTAAATATGAATTGGAATCAAATTATATATATATATATATATATATATATATATATAAATGTATGTATGTATGTATTAATTCATTTAATGCTTGGACAATAATTTATTTATTTATTTTATTTTATGTCATTGTTCAAAAGTATGGGTGTAAAACGGTAATGAGTTTTGTAATTACTAAGGGTTCGCAAACCGAAATCAGAATCGAAATGAGAATCAAATACTTGGTAATAGTAATGGGTTTTGGTGAAAGTATTTTGCATGCTTGGTAGTAGCTAGTGTGGAATTGGAATGCTTACCAATATTGACGTTTGGTTGTGTATGACTCTATAATGGGATGTGTTTGGTTGATGGGTTTTGCCCATAGGAATGAGTATGAAAGTGATTGTTATTGTCTGGTTAATAGGTTTTTAGAACACTACTATGAGTTTCGAATACCTCATCAATTGAAAAACTCATACCCAAATAAAATAAGGGTTTCATTCCCTTATTCATTCCCAAGCACTACTATTAATAACCATTCTTGTTCCACCCTACTACCAAAAATGTTAAATATTTTCACCAAAATCCATTACCAATACCAAGTATTTGATATCCATTTTGATTCCGATTCCCATGTGCGAACCAAACACACCCTAAATGTTTTAAAAATACAAAAATAAAAAATCAAGGTAATTGATCCTAATATAATGACATCCAAAGCATCGATATGAACAAAAAAAAAATCAAAACAAAAATCTAAAAGTACTAATCCAAACTTAAAAATTAGATTACCAATAAGATGAAATGATAACCATCCATTTTTAATTAGGGAATGAGATTTTTAATTGAAGGGGTAATCAAATTTCATAATTGTATTTTAAAAAGTTGTCAACCAAACACTAACTATGATTTTGATTTCCATTCCTAGTGTGTAAACCCATGAACCAAACACACCCTAAATGATTTGAATCCAATACTAGGATCGGATAACAAAAGTAGGCAAATAAATATGGTAATGCACACATTGTAAGGTACTAAAGTCCCAACCAAACGCCACATTAGTCTCTCCTTAAGTATCATTCTACATTCTTATGGAGTCAATATGATGAGATCATATATCCACAAAGTACTCCCCGATAGGTTTTAAGATAGATGTATTCTCAAATCACAAATTCGAAAAGAGACTGATGTTATCTCATCCATACTCTATAAGTAAATTTTAATTATCTTTCTACATCTGATTTTTTTTTTAAAATTACTTTATATGCCCATTTTATTGTAGTTTGCAATTTCTTAGTACAATAAAACATCATACCCTTCTAATAAAATTGTCCCTTCAATTCCCCCGAAAGGAAAGTCCGCAAACTACATCGAAACATTAATCAGCAAACATAAGTACATAACGGTCTGAGATATATAACATTTTTTTTTTTTAGTATATAAAGAAGGGAAAAAAATTGGAAAATAACCTTTGAATGCTTCGTAGGGCTATCATTCCTGAACGTAATTTAGTTACCCCTTCAAGAGGCAATTAACCACTCGAATAGTACCTAAAATAATAATAATATAGCACATTCTCTAATAGTATATATTTAATGGTAATGCCTTTCTTATTAATTAATTAACTACCAACTCCCATCCAATCTAGTCATTGTCTCATCTAATGTTGTCATCCGATCCGATTAACAAAATGCCAATTTTGAAATTGTTGTAGGGCACAAATAATGTTCGATAAGACGGACAACAAACAAGCTCGTATGTCATCAGTACGAGGACAAATAGGTAGGGGCCTTTCCCAATGCCAATCATATTTTAGATTAATTTTTCTCAACTAACTATTTTAATTTCTTTTTCACATTTGTCATTTTAATTAGTTATATACACAGACGTTAGATAAAAAGTCATCTTCGATGTAACATTACATAAAAAGTCATTTTTTATGTAACGTTACATAAGAAATCATGTTCGATATATATATGCCCAACAATAAACTGTTCAATACATGAATAATTTGAAAAAAAAAAAGTTAAATCAAAATATTTATACTATCATAATAACACACGTACCTATAATCAAATTATATTATGCTGCAAAATACCGATCATATGCTATTATATTATACTAGCTACATGCTAAATTTATCACAACCAAATGTTCAATCATGTTTAGTTTAAATAGATTTGTGTTAATTCGTCACAATCCTATTGATCTATTTTCACATATATGCCAAACCATGACTGATAGATGGCTAATGGTGGGACGTTTAATTATTATATATCTCTTTAATATATAAAAATATTTTATCATGTTTGAAATGACATAATTTATAAACAATTTATTTATCCCAAAAATATTTTTTAACAAATAGAGAATTAGTCTTTTCAATTATATTTCAACTAAATGTAGAAATAATTCAATCAATCAACAA